CCGGGTTTAGCCGCTTATCTCTTAAACCAGGGGGTTTTCAAACCAAATTAAGCTAAGCCGACCGAATACCATCCCTAACTGTTATGTAACCTGCTATTACACAGAGTAGATTTTACACATGATGATCTGCAAACCGAGCACAGATTCAAATTTGCATAGCGGGGTTGGGTCCGGTAATAAACTTAAAAGCCCGAAGTGTGGTTTTTCTTTGACGGCACTCATATATAACAAACCAGAACCTAAATGCATTTTCAGAATTCCAACTTTATTCAATCAGAATGATATGTGCATTATAGATGCAATGAAGTACGTATAAAAATTTTAAACAAAGGAGTAAATACCCCTGCGACAAACCTAATCTGACAATTAACTATGCGTTATATAAATATATCTTATGAGTTATAGAAAAATTTACTAATTCTGCAATGCGTGGATATGTATAAAAACTCCTTTAGATATAACCCTTAGCGATCCATTTTGCATACAATGCCTCTCGTCAAGGGTCAATAATAAACTTTAAAGCCAAATAACTCAATATGCTATTCTCTCATTATACAGTATATCAATTACTTTAATGGTTTTTAGGTTTTTGACGATTAAATCCTACCGCTACCAGGATTAAAAACCTATTTGTAACACTTGACCTACAAACCGCACCTAAAAATAGAATTTATACGAGAGATCATTATAATGGAAGAATAAAATAAAGTTAAAAACATTGACTTATTAACATTTACTTTTATATTATAATAAACATTCTAAAATTACATAGTTTAAATTATAAGTGCATTCGTGTTACTAGAACAATCTCAAAGAACATGTGAAATGTATGTATAAATTAAATTTTGCCTCGGCCTATACTTTATCGAATTCCGATGACAAACAAGGAAATCATTACGTAATTCGTAACGTGTGATAGGTAAACTTTCATGCCTTAAATTTTAAAAGTTTCCGAATTGAGCGAGCTTTCATAAATGTGGGAAACTTAATCTAGTATGATTTTCCGAGGAGACGGAAAGCCCCCCGAACACTACATATAAACAATATCCGACATTTAATCTTCCGTATTTAGAATAGATTACTATAAAAAAAAAAAAAAAACCTTTACAAAGGACAAAAGACATAAAGCACCGGCATTTTTTTATTTTATTTTCTTAACCCAAAAAGTCCTTGTCGAATAAAAAAAAAGGTTTCTTTCTTTATATCTATCTACACGACTAATTAAGTATTAGTAGTTGGCGTTGCGTTGCTTTCCTTATCCTTCGATTTTTATTCAATTTGATTTTTTCGAACAATTGAAACTTTCAATACAATTCTTTCTTTTATGCATATTTAGCTTAGAGATATGTCTATAAATAAAATCATATTATGTTATTTATACTATCATACTATCATTATATTAATTCGAGTACGTATCCCCTTTTTTAAAATATTGATGTGTGATCAAATTTTTAACAAATAAGTAAAGATTTTCACGGGTTTAATTGATTATGTAAATTATCTGTTATATTGAAAATAAGCACACAGCCATTTATCCGATAATTTTCAATTTTTGCTATTTTTTTTCATCCTTGCACCTTAAATCTTTTTTGACTTGTCGTAAAAAAAAAAAAAAACACTCATCTTACCTTCAAAGGTTTTTTTTTTGCATCACATATTTCTGTAATCATCTTACTGGTTGTATTACCAAACTATCAAACTGTAAAAAAAAAAAAATGACTCGTTCAACATCGTCACTTGGTCTTTCAAAAACTTATCGAAAGTCTACAAAATCTTCAAAATCCTCAAATTCTTCAAGTCCTCCAAGATGTATAAGTCCAAAATCATTAAAATCACCTAATTCTTCACTTTATAATATAAATCCTATAGATCGTGATTTAAATGATATACTCAGAAATTTTGTTGATGAATTATGTGAAATTTTTGTAAAAGCAAGACAAGATGGAAAAAATGAAGCTCAATCAGTTGATATTATTTTAAACTTTTTTTCATTAAAAAATCAAGATTTTGGTCAAATATTTGTTTGGCTTTTAAATAATACTCATAAAGATAAGTATAGAACTATTTTAGGATATTTTTATGATCAAGGTATTGCAACAAATAGAAATCAAAGAAAAGCCTATTGTTTATATTTATCAGCTGGTAAAAAAGGTTATTCAATTGCTGAAGATTTACTTGGTGATTGTTATTATTCTGGTCAAGGAACTACTAAAGATCGTCATATGGCTTTTGAATGGTATCAAAAAGCTGCTGATAATGGAAGTACTGGATCTCAATTTAGTTTAGGAATTTGTTACGCTTTTGGTGAAGGTACTCATAAAGATGTTAATAAAGCATTTCAATGTTATAAAAAATCAGCTAGTGGTGGAAATGTTAGTGGAATGAATGAATTAGGTTATTGTTATGAAGTTGGAATAGGAACAAAAAAAGATAATAGAAAAGCCTTTTTATTATTTGAACAAGCTGCTAAAGGTGGAAATCCTCCTGGTCAACATAATCTTGCTTCATGTTACGAAGAAGGAAAAGGAACTGATGAAGATCTTGATAAAGCTATATATTGGTATCAAGTTTCTGCTAAGAATGGTCATGAAGTTGCACAGCGACGTGTTCAAAGTCTTTTAAATTTAATGGCTCATGGGCCTCATGTAGATGACTCTTTATCATCTAAAGGTGCTGATATGAGTATGTATATATAAATCGTCTGTTTTCCAATTATTACTGTAATGATTTATATACTTATTCATTTGGTATTATAGATTTTTTAACCAACCAGATTAACGAGTTAAAGTAAGTTTATCAAAATAAGTTATCAAAATCTTCGTCTCGTTTAATTCTTTATTATAAGTCATCTAAATATTATATTTTAAAATCTTATTTATTAATAGCTTGAAGTCATAATCATATTCGCTTAGTAAATTGGCTTTAGCCTTAAAGAATAATACTATGGTAGCTTATCTTATTTTTTTTCAATTTAGGTAATTTTAGTTGGATGAAAACTTTGGACATTTTTTTTTTTTTTAATACTTATTTTTTTTTCTTATTTAATCGTTTTTTTTTTAATGTGTTTTAATTTGTTTTTTTTTTTGTTTATAATTGCATTTTTTCTTTTTTTTTTTTTTTAATACACTTTTCTAAATATTCTTCACACGTGTTCACTATTTTGTGTTTAGTTTTGTATAATAAACATCATTAAAAAATTGTATATATATTCGTTTTTTTTTTTCGACGTGTCGATAATTAGGCTATCATGTGATATACATATTTAATTAACCATAAAAAAAGATAATTGTTTCTTTGTAAATTAAAGAATGTCAACTGAATTGCTACTTCGTATTAAAAAAAAGTTATTCACTTTTTGTTAAAAGAAATAATTAAATTTTGACATATATAAACAAATTGATCAGACAGACAAATTGTTTATGGTTTCAAAGA